TATAAAATAAACTCACATATCGCTTACTACAAAATAGCCAGTTATTATAATTAAAAAAAAAAATAAAAAATAAAAAATAAATAAATAAATAAATAAAATCCACTTACTAATGAATTCAATAATTACTAAGAAATTTGTTACCATCATCCTGAAATAATATAATTTAAAAAAATAATAAATAAATAAATAAAACAAAAGAAATTAATAAATAAACAATAAATTACTTACCATAACCGTTATTAATTTATTCAAGCTACAAAAAAAAAAATTAAAATGATATTAATTAAATTTAATAAAAAATTAAATCCCAATCTTTTATTACAAACAAATCACTAATTAATAATAAAAAATAAATAAATAATAAATTAAAAAAATAAACAAATGAAAAAATTAAATTAAAGCAACTTATTGCTATAGTCACTAATCACTAATTTCACAATTTCTAACTGATCCTGAAATATAGAAATTTAAAAATTAATAATTCTAATTTACATACATTGACACTTACTCTTTCATTTTGCCTTATCACCTTATCACTCAACTGCCTTCCACTTATCTCACTGCCTCTCACTTATCTTACCGCTTCCACTGCCTCTACTGCTCCAATTCCCTACCTCACTACTCACTTAATTAGACACAAACCCTAAAATAAATTAAAAATATATTAACAAACAGCAAAAAAGAGAAAATAAAAAAAAAATATTAAAAAAAAATATTTACTTACTGCAGCCGAAGTTGGTAAACTTGCTTTCTTCAGTTCTAAAAAAAGAAGTTTACAACGGTATATCGGCAAAAAAATTATCAATTTATTAATTGATAATCAATTCAAGATCTGAATTCAGATCTGAATCCAATCTGAATCTGACAGATCAGATCTGATCTAAATCTGAATTCGAATTAGATCTGAATTCCAGAAATATTATTTAATAGAAATTTAATTTCCAATTTTCTGAATCCATATAGGTCCCAAAATTCTTCTCTTAATGTCAAGTCTGTCAAAATATTAAAATCTGATGTAAATTCTGATAAAATAAGAAGAGTCATGCCAGTTTGAAAAATGTAAGCAATGTCTTTATCACATGCAAACTTCAATCAACTATAAAATTGTTTGAACAAACTCTTCATTACTTCGATTCTGCTTAGAGAATTTTTATGATATGTGTATAAAACAGATTCATTTTTAAGTGTAGTGTGTTTTTTCTGAAGAGATGGTAACTAAGTGAGAAAAAATACCTTATGCCAACTCAATTCTATCGAATTCAGTAACTCTAAAAAATTCACCAAAGTATTTTCTTTTTTGTTTAAAACTTGATAATAATCCTTCAACTCTTGTTGATACCTACACATAAACTTTATTATGTCTATGTTAAACTTTTATGAAAGTCATCCTCAAAATTTTCAAACGTTGAATTAGTGCAGAGATCAGAAAAATTAAGTTCAAGAACGAGAAATAAAGATACTAACAGTATGAGATTTTTTCTGATATATAAATCATTAAAAAGTTGTATGAATCGTCTTCCTTTGTTCTTTATATCATAATAAGAGGATATAGTAAAAAAAAATAATTTTTTTCTAAAATGACGAAGGTATAGTGAAAGGATAGAACAAATATTAAGTTCCTCTATTTTAGAGATAAACTTAGTTTTATCTAGATAATAACCAGCTTCCTGTTTCAAATCGGCAAATGATCCTGTTAATAGTATTTTAAGAGGTTTTGAAGATGCTGATATCAAATCAGTTTCTACAGATAATATTTCAGGTTCATAGACTGACTTATCTTGAGAATTTTTTTTACAATTATATTCATCCACTTTTAATTTTTTTTGCTCGCGTTCTATGGAATCCAATTCTATTTCAACATACATTTAAAAATCTTATTGCACTATTTGAAGTCTAGTTTGCATTTTCTACTTTTATAAATAGCAAGTTCAGTAGTAAAAATTAGAGAAAAGGTCGTTAAAATATGTTAAAAGTTTATATTAAATCATTTGCTTTGTCGAAATTTGATTTCAAATCAACCAACTTAGACTCTATCTTTAGTGAATTGATTTGATTTATTGATTCTCAAAGTTCCTTATTTGCTATGTCCTTTGCAATATTCTATATGAAAGAATTTTTTAATAACAATCTAAGTAACTTAATAAGTATAATTTTAGAAAGGTTAAAATAGGAAAGAAGTTCACAATAAGTTACGGACACTCAGCCCTCCCTTATTATACACTCAGTCTCTAAGTTTAACTCAAAGAAACATTCCTTATTTGAATACTCAGTTCAACCTAATGTTTTTATAATCACGTACATTTGATACTACCCATCAGTTTTACACATGACAAAACTTTCTCAATACTCAGCTGCTAGATTAGTCATAGAGTATATTGACACTATCTGTCAAATGCATATTATTATTAATTATACCTGTAACCCTTTCAGCAATTTATCAATTTCATTATAAGCAAGATGTGAATTTGTAAATATTTATTTTAAGTTTCTCAGCTCATCATCTAACGTCATGTGAAAATTGTGTTTATTAATGTATGACAGTTGCAATTGTTTTTTAATCTAATAAGTGTTCTAATTGTTTATTTTTTATATGTTAAAATCCCTATTCCAGTATTCTAAATATATTTAAAGTTTATAAATTTATTATTCTTATTTCTAATAAGTAAAAAAGGAGTGTAAGGTAGCAGACTAATTTGGATATTTTAACTTTGAATGGTTTTCACTTGATGTAAACTCTATATCGAAAATATTTACTTTTTGCAAAAACTTTTATTACAATCAGTGCTGTGTAATACCAAAATCAATCTAAAATAATTTCTCATACACATTAAAAATATCAAGATTTTTTATTATATATTTTTCATAAAATGCTATATTAATGTAAAAGAAACTTGCTATACGTTTAAAGAAAGGAATTTGCCCGCTTTTTTTACTATGTAAAATAGCAGTTCTTTCCTACTATTATGCACTACCTATATTATTATTTAGTTTGCTACTGTTGTATTCAATTCTTTCGTTTATATATTTATAAACAATTTAAATGTAAGCAAAAGATTTTTATTAAGTAAAAATGAAGTAACTATGACAGAATATTTATTTAATATTATCAAATTAATCAGTATTGCTTCAATGTTAGCGTTCTACACTTTTGCTTGATCAATATTTTAAATATGCAATATTACGAAATAATTATGAAATAATTACATAAAACTCTCTATAAATGGCAAGTACTAAATTCTAATTAATTAAACTACGTAATATTACGAAATATTTGAATTATAAAATACTAATAAGTTGAAACAGCAAAAATAAAATTATCGCGAAGGTGTAAAAAGGGAAGATTTTGAAAGGCATAATAATTTTTCTGTACAAATCTCTGAATGTAACAAAAATTTTTTATGATTTTAGTGCAGATTTTAATGTCAGTTTATTTAAAGATTTTACAGTAAATTTTTGTTTTTAGTTATTTTAGAAAAAAAAAAACTCAAAAATAACATTTTGAAACTTCAAAATCTTAAAAATCTTAGAAATTTCGATCTAACCTGGTAACTTAAGAATTTATTAATTAATTAGTAGTAGTAGTTGTATTTTGACTTACTATATTGTTATAATCATTATTCATCATTTACCTATACATGAAATATTCAGAATATAAAATATAATAAATATACTTACCAAAAAGGCATTGATTCACTTTACTACAGATTTGTCATTACATTTAATTCCTGAATTTTTTAGGTTTAAGATGAGCAAGAATATAGACGTAATGTATAGTTAGTAGCTCATTAATTTTATACTGCTTAAATATATAATATAACCTATTTTATCAAGTATTTTGTTATCAGAAAAAAGTTCAAAATAAAGATGAAATATTGATTAGGTTTGCAAGAAAATAATTTGCTGCGCCATGCGCATGATATAATATGGATCACATTTTCTGTATTAAAATTTATTGTCTAAAATGATGATAAAAGTTTTGCCTAATATAAGGGCTTTATTTTTTTATACATCATGGCGGATCAATAAATCTGTATAAATCTGAATTATATGATATTCTCTAGTATATGTTGTATATAAATGATAAAGAATTACTATAAATCGATAAAATTTACTATAAATTGCTTTACAGTCTGTAAGGAAAAATGTAATTTTTCTTAGTGAACTAAGTGAAATCACGTGATTTTTTAGTTTATGAAAAACTGTGACAAAATTTCACGATCAACTAGTAATGGCAAATGATCAGGTCATTTGACTAATTTTCAAATGACCTAAGTTACGCTAAAATGACTGATTATTTCATATCATATAGAATTTGGATTATTTCAAATGACTTATGACTCAATGACCTGGATCATTTGGTCATTTGAAATAATTTGAGGTCATTTAGTCATTTTGGATTATAATTTTAGCTAAAATTAACTGTGTGATATAATTTTACTTTAGAAATTATGATCACAGTTATTATAATCTGATATCCAGATAATCATGGTATGATTTACATATTTTATTAACAAATAAAAAAAATTTTTTTTTATTAGAAATCTGATCTTTTTTTTTTTGAACTTTACTTTTGAGCTAAACTTTTTTTGGACTAGGTTTATTTTAAATGGATAAAATGGGTAAAGAACATAATTTCGAGAGTTTTTTTTTTAACTACACTAGATAATCCAAAAGCGAACAAAAAGGCTGTTTGTTTTTCATATATACGAAAGTATATATTACCTGTTGCAATTAGGGCAGTAACATATATTACCTAATATCATTTAATTATAAGCATCCACCCCTCCACCCCCAGGTAAGATATTCTGATCATGTGCATAAAAATTATTTCCTTTTATAGAATTCATATATCAGTTGTAGTAAAATATATCGAAAAATAAAATTATAATA